GTCGGTAGTGACAAGTAACCATCACAGTACAGAGCACTAAACTGGCAAATCACTGTGTCCGGCTTCTCTAATTTTGTATCTTGAAAAATGAAGCAGTTTTGTGCTCCAGTCTATGTATATTAGCAAGGCAATTTGGCTCTTTCAATGCTGATGAGGAGTTCCTAAGGGAGAATGGTCTTGTAAGGAAATCCATCACAAGGAAAGCTTTGGACAGAGAAGAGTTCCGTTCCAGTGACAGGTTCATTGTGGCAATATTGAAAATCTCCTAACAAGTCAGGTGCCTATTGATTGGGCCACGGACAAACGGCTACCACATTGACCAAAGACGACACGGCGACTTGTCTATAACCAGCAGAAGAGATTAAGACAGATTTAACTCTGAACGAAAAGTAATCCAATGCCGACATCTGATGCTGCGGACGTTGTTCGCTCTGATACACATTATAACCAACTCTATCAGCCAATCACAATCTCATGAATTTCACCAGATAAAGGAATTATATTACTATAGGTATTAACATATCTCTGTAAGATATTCTGCTTCAACAGCACGTTTTATATTGACATATGAATGTACACTGTGCAGGTCCCCATGGTAACTTACAAAGGATTAAACCCATAAAACACACATCATGTACTTTTGATACTGAAGACTATTTCAGTATACCAGCTATTGACCTTGGTCACAATACTTTCTAAATTAGAAAGTTGGTGTTGAGTTTGTAGTATAAGAGTTCACCTAATACCAAATTTGGATATTTCAGTGGTCTTGAGTTTTTTAGGTTTTTATTCACAGTTAGATTAATGAATTAAAACTTCACACTCTTGACATGTACATTTGTAGATGATTTCCACACATGCTGGTGCTCATCTTATTGACTTGATGAAATGGCCTCCTGTCAGTCATTTAGGTTACCGCATCAGTCCCCAAATTAAAATGGCAAAACAAGGGACCAAGGGAGAACATATAAACGAAATTTGAGAGAGATCCATCCTGTACTACTTGAGAAGTAAAATTATAAGATGGCCACCTGTCAGCCATTTTGTTTTTCTGGTCATTCATAAAATCCAAGAGGCACAACTAGAGACCAAGAGAAGCATACATATGAAATTTGAGAGAGATTCATCCTGTACTACTTAAGAAGTAAAATTATAAGATGGCCACCTGTCAGCCATTTTGTTTTTCTGGTCATTCATATAATCTAAGAGGCACAACTAGAGACCAAGAGAAACATACATATGAAATTTGAGAACTTTGATAACAATAATTGATGGACAGACAGAAAACAGACTAGTACATCGGGCAATTTGAATAGCCCACCATTTTGATGCTGGTGGGCTAAAAATGTATTATGTTTATTACTATGTGCATTGTGTTAAAATCCATTACGATTATATCAGTGTAAAGTATACTGAAATATATTATATATATTACTGTACACATTGTATTAATGTAGATAAATACAATGTAATAATGTATGTAATGTACATCTAGTCGATGTAATGATGTATGATAAGGTACATTAATACATTGTAATGCTGTATATAAGGTACATTAATACATTGTAATGCTGTATATAAGGTACATTAATACAATGTAATGATGTATGATAAGGTACATCAATATAATGTAATGATGTATGATAAGGTACATCAATACAATGTAATACATCAATATAATGTAATGATGTATGATAAATTACATCAATATAAAGTAATGATGTATGATAAGGTACGTCAATACAATGTAATACATCAACATAATGTAATGATGTATGATAAGGTACGTCAATACAATGTAATACATCAATACAATGTAATGATGTATGATAAAGTACATCAATACAATGTAATGATGTATGATAAGGTATGTCAATACAATGTAATGATGTATGATAAGGTACATCAATACAATGTAATACATCAATATAATGTAATGATGTATGATAAGGTACATCAATATAATGTAATGATGTATGATAAGGTACATCAATACAATGTAATGATGTATGATAAGGTACATCAATATAATGCAATGATGTATGATAAGGTACATCAATACAATGTAATGATGTATGATAAGGTACATCAATACAATGTAATGATGTATGATAAAAGACATCAATATAATGTAATGATGTATGATAAGGTACGTCAATATAATGTAATGATGTATGATAAGTCACATTTACATTATGTAATGTTTATATGATACAGTAGATAACAGTACAGTATACATGTAAGATCTATAAACAGCTGTGCTTCATTAAAGCCTGGGGCACTTTCTATAAGAAGGTACAAGATGTCATATTCCATAAACAGACATTTGTTTTGCATCCAACCTAATATAAAGTGCAACTAAATCAATACATGTTTGATCTATTTTTATCTCTCTGTCTATGGCCTCATTCCTCAAGATTTACATCAGAATTTGTATCATTTAAGTCTACTGTTGGTGATGCAGCAGAATTACAGCATAGGATTGAGTAAATTAGGATGATTCATGTTTCCTTGCACTTTTGAATTTTACATACGGTAGATTATCTGTTCCTGGTAATGAAGTGAGCAGTTTCCATTTTGATAACAGATGATATAGGTACACAGTGTAATCCAATAGACACTCAACATCTACACTGATCAGTATGACAATGGACCCTAATATTTGTAAGTGTAAAAAATTCACACTTTTAAATAAGAATTGCAGAAAAAATATACTCTTATACCAAACACTACAAATTTAGATTCATAAAATCCATTGTATTATGCAGAGTTAAAAAACCTGGTATTGATATTATTGGAGCTTCAGAAAAATAAAAAAAAACTGAGGCTAGGCTCAGACAGCTCTGGATTGTGATTGAAAATAACATTGTAGCATCTGTAAAGAACCATTAAATCTACCAATGTGTCACTGTAACCACACAAAATCTCGTCTAATTGCATCCTGCTCGTCAATTGTTTCTAATGCTCCGTAAAATTTTGTAATTTTCTCAGTTAAAAGATATGGATTGCAGAAATTAAATCCATTCATTTGATATTGTCACACCATTTCCATTGGACGGAAGAAAATGTAAGACGTTTCCAGTATCGAACAAAATTCAAATCAAAGATGTTTGATTAAAAGAACGTTGGCATTCATGTGAAAAAATCTAACTTCAGGATAGTTTTCTCAAACAGAAATTAAAGACCCATATTGTGATTGCTTCTGGTCTTGAACTTCCATCAAGAAGCATAAAGTTTTCATTTTTTTAATTTCTCTTTCTTAATTTTCATAATGGAAATTTGCAACTTTATCAAAATGAGATAAAAATTCAAGAATAATATATTGATCAGAAATATTTCTTTACAAAACCTTATAACAGTGAAATCTAAAACATACATTTTTATAACATTAAAATCTTAATTGAAACCAAAGGACCTTCATAATATACTGTGTGAGATTTACAGGTAGATATAGATGTGTGGTTGTTGTGTAAGATTTACGAGTAGATATAGATGTGTGGTTGTTGTGTGAGATTTACAGGTAGATATAGATGTGTGGTTGTTGTGTGTGATTTACAGGTAGATATAGATGTGTGGTTATTGTGTGTGATTTACAGGTAGATATAGATGTGTGGTTGTTGTGTAAGATTTACGAGTAGATATAGATGTGTGGTTGTTGTGTGTGATTTACAGGTAGATATAGATGTGTGGTTGTTGTGTGTGATTTACAGGTAGATATAGATGTGTGGTTATTGTGTGTGATTTACAGGTAGATATAGATGTGTGGTTATTGTGTGTGATTTACAGGTAGATATAGATGTGTGGTTGTTGTGTGTGATTTACAGGTAGATATAGATGTGTGGTTGTTGTGTGTGATTTACAGGTAGATATAGATGTGTGGTTGTTGTGTGTGATTTACAGGTAGATATAGATGTGTGGTTGTTGTGTGTGATTTACAGGTAGATATAGATGTGTGGTTGTTGTGTGTGATTTACAGGTAGATATAGATGTGTGGTTATTGTGTGTGATTTAGATGTGTGGTTATTGTGTGTGTGTGGTTGTTGTGTGATTTACAGGTAGATATAGATGTGTGGTTATTGTGTGTGATTTACAGGTAGATATAGATGTGTGGTTGTTGTGTGTGATTTACAGGTAGATATAGATGTGTGGTTGTTGTGTGTGATTTACAGGTAGATATAGATGTGTGGTTATTGTGTGTGATTTGTGTGACAGGTAGATATAGATGTGTGGTTATTGTGTGTGATTTACAGGTAGATGTGTGGTTGATTGTGTGACAGGTAGATATAGATGTGTGGTTGTTGTGTGTGATTGTGTGTGATTTACAGGTAGATATAGATGTGTGGCTGTTGTGTGAGATTTACAGGTAGATATAGATGTGTGGTTGTTGTGTGTGATTTACAGGTAGATATAGATGTGTGGTTGTTGTGTGAGATTTACAGGTAGATATAGATGTGTGGCTGTTGTGTGAGATTTACAGGTAGATATAGATGTGTGGTTGTTGTGTGAGATTTACAGGTAGATATTGATGTGTGGTTGTTGTGTGTGATTTACAGGTAGATATAGATGTGTGGTTGTTGTGTGTGATTTACAGGTAGATATAGATGTGTGGTTATTGTGTGTGATTTACAGGTAGATATAGATGTGTGGTTGTTGTGTGTGATTTACAGGTAGATATAGATGTGTGGTTATTGTGTGTGATTTACAGGTAGATATAGATGTGTGGTTGTTGTGTGAGAGAGATTTACAGGTAGATATAGATGTGTGGTTGTTGTGTGAGATTTATAGGTAGATATAGATGTGTGGTTGTTGTGTGAGATTTACAGGTAGATATAGATGTGTTGTAGTTGTGTGAGATTTACAGGTAGATATAGATGTGTGGTTGTTGTGCGTGATTTACAGGTAGATATAGATGTGTGGTAGTTGTGTGAGATTTACAGGTTAGTATATTTTCCGTCCAATTTGTATTGTTTAGCTAACGCCACTGATAAATGTATACACACCTGCTTTGTCTTTCTCTACACAGTAACAGTTGTCGTAGAACTCTGAGAAGGTAGTAGCCACCTCATACAGGAAGTCACATAGAGTATGTATGAGGAGATCGTCAAGACACTTGAGAATAACCTCGGGGAATCTCAGCAGGCACTTAGCAAGCTTCAATTCCTTTGGATGGTCAAGCATAATTTTTGTCTTCGCTGCAGCATCCTTTAATTGGTGAGGAGAAACTTGGGCTGTACGAGCAATAGACCTGAAAGTTAGAATTTATGTTGTAATGTATTCACATTCTTCTATTCATCATTTTTCAATATCTGAAATTATTATTCATAAAGAATAGGTGGATAATTTGGTAGTTAAGAAATCATCAATAACCTGTCTGTGATCTGATATTAACAGGAATTTTAATACATAAAATATATAACAGTTTCTATATACAGTACAATTCATTATCACATAATTGTCTGGTTATTCAGTGAATTATGCTCATGTCAAATTTTTGCATATTACACATGAGTGATATAGTTTATTGTGATGAAACTTTAACAAATGTAACATTAAGTTTGATGTAGAAATATCCATTTTATACCATAAATGCTTGAAAAATTGATCATGTGATAAAACGAATATTCAATTTGTTTCCATCTTTTATATGCCTGATGAAAAATACTCATCAAAATTATTTTGTTTTACATTGCCAAAGGCTCACTAACAAGAAAAATTCTAAGATTTGTTTCATAAATTCACATTTCAAATGGAAAATTAATTAAGATCCTATACATACCGGGAACAGTGTAATAATTGTGACTTCTGACACGTTACAACGCAGTAGCCTAACTGGTCTGGTTACACAGTCGAATTAATTGTTATTGTCAAAACAGGGCTACCAGACAGTGTATACTCCTATATCAGACTTTAATGTATTATATATATAAATGTGATACATGGCGTGTACAGCTTGTCATATTACAGGAAAAACAGGATATAAACTATCATTAGGCTAATATAGGCTGACAAACCATTGTCAAGAAATTTTTATTTCAACATGCTTCTGGCAAACTAATATGAGAAATTCAAAACAAAACTATCATATTGATCTATTAAAATTATATTAAGATCTTCTCCAGCCATTGTTATTTGTAAGCCGTGTTTTCTTCAGTTCATGCGAAACCTAATTTGTGGATAATTTCACTTCATGGCAGTTTTTTATGTGATGTTCGTTACTCCTGGTAACATCTCAGTAAAATTACGACTCCACAAAGTCGTACAAATTGAAGGTATATAACTCCTATCAATATACCAGTAGGCCTGTTTTCATGTAGTTGCCAACTGATCCCTTCCTCATACAATATACATGAAATTTCATCTTGATTTGTATTTAGGTAAGCATTACCCTCCCAACCAAAACAAGCAGAGAACCTAAGTATATATACTAGTGGAAAAAAGAAACTGTTCATGGGTATAATATGCTATATTTCACAAGGTATATAAGAAATCAGTGTCTTGGATAGAGTTTTCACAGATGTTCTCTAGACAAAGTTAAGGACATCAATACCATGTATGTCTACCATTGGCATCAACGCATGCTTGACAATGACACCTCACTGATGCAACAAGTGTGCTAAAAATTGCCTAGGGAATACTCTCATATTCTCACAAGCGCACGTGACAGGTCAGGTAATGTCAACGGTTGATTTTGGAGGCGATGCTGCATCTCATCCCACATGTGTTCTATAGGCGACATATCCTGTGCCACTGCCGGCCAGGGCAGCACATTTGCATTGTTCTTGATCAAGAAGTTGGTGAGGGCTTACACAATGTGCGGGCAAGTGTTATCCTGTGGAAGCATGATGTTACATGGCTGCATATTTCATCATGGTATCTGACTCTGATGCCAGTCAGTGTGCCGTCCAAAACCACAAGAGCTGTTCTGTCAGGGAAAGAGATGCCACCCCACACCATGACATTACCTCCACTAAACGGACATTGTCAAATCACACAACTGTCATGGAAACATTCACCCACACAAAGGAACGCTCTAGAACAACAGTTGCTGCAGTCGAGATGAAATCTGTGCTCAACTGTGAGAAGAACACATACCCAGTCTTGCCATGTGAAGTGTAGGCATCATCTACACCAGGCTAAACGTGATACACAATGATATTGCTGGAGAACAGGACGTATGGCTGAACGTTGTGGGTGTCTGTCTTGTTCAAGCAACTGATTATGTACCATTCCGAGACTAATTACTCTAAGGCCCTGAGTACTTATATAGCCGTAAAAGAAGCAGTTCTGAGTCCTTCACAGAGATTAACAACCCAGATATACATATCTTGGCAATTAGAAATTACGTGTAGATGTCCTGATTGAGGGCAGTCTCTGGTGGTCCCAAACTGTTGGTACCATCTCCACAAGGCCTCTACAGTATTTTGGAGCACACTAAATTGTCTGACAATGTCAATATGACGTACACATCTTCGATCATGCGTACGGGGTAGCATGTCAGTTTTACTGAACCTTGGCATGGCGTATCAAAGATGATTTTCAAAGTTGTGCTGGTTTTGTGTGTTACAGGTTTAGGCACAACAAATGTGTTTGTGACTGACTGCTGGCCAAAATAAATAAGAAAATGAAGACCTGGGCCAGACAGACAGGCATACACATGTTACCTGTGTAAAGTTCCAAGTTCTAATTAATCAAATTGAGCAATACATAAACATTTAAAACATGCACATTTTTTTTTTCTGCTAGTATATCATTTATTGAAATCCTTTCAAGCTTTCTTTTACACACATTTAACTGGAATTAGTGTACAGTGGTATGTTGACTTTTTCTGGCCATTGACAAGGAACCACACACAAAAACTACCAACGTAAACATCACTCTGATTGGGATGTTCAATGTTTGAAGATATAAGGTAGAATATTGTAAATGTCACAAAAAAACTTAAGGTGTTACTTAAATGAGCAGGATTTACTTGAGAACTTTAAAGAGACATGCATCACTGGGACGTCCACAGAATTCAAACATTGATGACCAGTAGTCCTCAGTGTCAGAAGTTTCTTAGAGAAGTCACAGGATTGTCAGAACTAGTCTTCATCTTTAGACAGACTATATTCCGAAAATTCAGGCAGAAAATTGTCTTGCCTTAATAAAAGTGGGATTTATAAATTCACCCCACTCTACCTGAATTACCATATTGAGTTTGAATGTCGTGTCAAATTAATGATGGTAAAAAGACTTCAGTATTTAAGCAATGCCGAAAACCAGCGTCATTGTATTCCATAACTACACAGGTTCTGTCCAAGGCTGTAACATTTTATATAAAAAACTTCCCATATCTAGATAATTTGTATGTGATCATTCATCTTTAATGATAAAGTCAGGGTGATTACCCGTCTTTGTTGGCATTCAGTAGATTGAATGGTAGATCACAGCCTTCAACAATAGACTCGTTAGCTGAACTCACACATTTACCGCTAAATTGGCATAGTCAAATTCCCAAGAGGCCAGTCTTTAGGCTGATGGTTACTATAGACTTAACAAAAAGTTATTGATGGGTATCCAAGGAGTTTTTTCTATCAATTTCTAGGACCTAACCACATCACAGATCCATATAAGCAAGTTTGGTAGAAATAATCAATTTGTTGAACATTGGCTATTTCTTGAGTAGAGCTAAACATTAAATTATGGCTTTCTCTAGCCTATATCATTACCACCTATATCTAGTCATTACCACCTATATCTAGTCATTACTACCTGTATCTAGTCTATATCATTACTACCTATATCTAGTCATTACTACCTGTATCTAGTCTATATCATTACCACCTATATCTAGTCATTACCACCTATATCTAGTCTATATCATTACTACCTATATCTAGTCATTACTACCTGTATCTAGTCTATATCATTACCACCTATATCTAGTCATTACCACCTATATCTAGTCATTACTACCTGTATCTAGTCTATATCATTACCACCTATATCTAGTCATTACTACCTGTATCTAGTCTATATCATTACTACCTATATCTAGTCATTACTACCTGTATCTAGTCTATATCATTACTACCTATATCTAGTCTATATCATTACTACCTATATCTAGCCATTACTACCTATATCTAGTCTATATCATTACTACCTATATCTAGCCATTACTACCTATATCTAGTCTATATCATTACTACCTGTATCTAGTCTATATCATTACTGCCTGTATCTAGTCTATATCATTACTACCTATATCTAGTCATTACCACCTATATCTAGTCATTACTACCTGTATCTAGTCTATATCATTACTACCTATATCTAGTCATTACTACCTGTATCTAGTCTATATCATTACTGCCTGTATCTAGTCTATATCATTACTGCCTGTATCTAGTCTATATCATTACTACCTATATCTAGTCATTACTACCTGTATCTAGTCTATATCATTACTACCTATATCTAGTCTATATCATTACTACCTATATCTAGCCATTACTACCCATATCTAGTCTATATCATTACTACCTATATCTAGCCATTACTACCTATATCTAGTCTATATCATTACTACCTGTATCTAGTCTATATCATTACTGCCTGTATCTAGTCTATATCATTACTACCTATATCTAGTCATTACCACCTATATCTAGTCATTACTACCTGTATCTAGTCTATATCATTACTACCTATATCTAGTCATTACTACCTGTATCTAGTCTATATCATTACTGCCTGTATCTAGTCTATATCATTACTGCCTGTATCTAGTCTATATCATTACTGCCTGTATCTAGTCTATATCATTACTACCTGTATCTAGCCATTACTACCTGCATCTAGTCTATATCATTACTACCTGTATCTAGTCTATATCATTACTTCCTGTATCTAGTCTATATCATTACTACCTGTATCTACTTTCTCTAAAAAGTTTCATCTTGAAAGCTCACCTTATTCGAGTGTAGGCATACAACAGGTAGGCAGCAGTGTTTCCTCGGTCATCTAACATCTACAAACGATCAAGTTACATGTAAATATGGATCTATAATATATAGGTATATAACATGCAAGTTACATACAGGAAGTGTATAATATACAGGTAACATATAGGTAGTTAGTGTATAACATGTAGGTAGTGTATAACATACAGGTAGTGTATCACATAGATGTTGTGTATAACATACAAGTACAATTTAAAAGTATGGTTTTACATAGGTAGGTGTATAACGAACAGATAACTATATAACATACAGGTAGGTATATAACATACAGATAAGTATATAACATACAAGTAAGTATATAACATACAGGTAGGTGTATAACATACAGGTAAGTATATAACATACAGGTAGGTATATAACATACAGGTAAGTATATAACATACAGGTAGGTGTATAACATACAGATAAGTATATAACATACAGGTAAGTATATAACATACAGGTAGGTTTATAACATACAGGTAAGTATATAACATACAGAAAGTATATAAAATACAGGTAGCTGTATAACATACAGGTAAGCATATAACATACAGGTAGGTGTATAACATACAGATAAGTATATAACATACAAGTAAGTATATAACATACAGGTAGGTGTATAACATACAGGTAAGTATATAACATACAGGTAGGTATATAACATACAGGTAAGTATATAACATACAGGTAGGTGTATAACATACAGATAAGTATATAACATACAGGTAAGTATATAACATACAGGTAGGTTTATAACATACAGGTAAGTATATAACATACAGAAAGTATATAAAACACAGGTAGCTGTATAACATACAGGTAAGCATATAACATACAGGTAGGTGTATAACATACAGGTAAGTATATAACATACAGAAAGTATATAACATACAGATAACTGTACAACCTACAGATGATTCTATATGTACATGGAGGTAGGATAGTTTGCCTACAAATCTCTAGTCCCCCACATTGGCATTATACAGCTGATATTGTAAAATGTCAATATAACAAAGACTACCCACAATATAGAGATAGTAGAGATTACCTAAATGTCAGTGTTTTTGGTAGAACAAATGATCTTACACTGTGTGTTGTTGACATTCATCCTTATAAGCCTTTAATAGTACTGATACATTTATCATCCTATCATTACAAATACCAAGTGTATCATGTCAGATCTCTGCTAGGAATTCATTTATTGTAACAACAGCCACACAAAAAGTCCCAGTATTTCACATCAGAAAACATGCATGTATAAAGCAATATTTTTTTATATTTTTCTACAATTTTTCTGAATTATTGACCCTATCAGGTGAAGGTTATGATAAAAAACTTACCCTATCAAAGGAGAAGATATACTCATGGTTACGATTATGAGATAGATCATTGTATTTTATACATCCATATGCTACTGCCTCCATTGCCTTTTTCATTTCCTCCTTTGTTAATTCCTGAAAATAAAGTGATCACAATTAACATCTTACATAGTCACCTTTGACCTCTACATGATAATTATAATCACCTTTGACCTCTACATGACATAATAATTCAGTTACTTTTGACCTCTATATGATGGTTATACTCAATCACCTTTGACCTCTACATGATAATTATAATCACCTTTGACCTCTACATGATATTTATATAGTCAACTTTGATTTCTACATGGAGTAGCTATAGTTACCTTTGACCTTTAAATGAAAGTTACAGTCTACTTCAGTTTGTTCATCTTAGTAGTGTTACCACCACTACATATATAATCCAACAATAGTGTTTAAAGGCTATTGAAAAATAAAATGTTCTAAAATATATAACATTTTTGCAATATCTTATGTACTTTTAAAAAATTATGACCAATTGCAAAAAAAAAAAAATAATAATAATAATATTCACAGAAACAATAAACCTGTTTGATGAATTTTTTTTTTTACTTTTCGTGTATTTATAGTTGAAAGTTACAATTTTTTAAATGTGTTTTGATAAGATCAGATCTTAGATCCTAAAACTCCATGTCAGCTAGAGAGTCAGTTACAGACTGACCCCAAAAGGATTGTCTTCATGGGAGATGGTAAGGTTTACAATCATACTTCATAATACCTAATGACAATGTCTGATGAATATGGGAATGGAAAGAAAGGGACACAGTAAGGAATCCATGCATTCTTATTCATCTGAAAACTATAGATCACAGAGGGCACAATGTCTAATATTGTTGGTCGAAGACAGGACATGCAGGTGAATAATATCTTAACACATATTGAAAAACACTTCTCTTTGTGATGTTGGAGCCGGTCCTGTTTTGCACAGAGAGCTGATGTTATGTCTAGACATGAATCCTGAGCACATTTTAGATACATATATTTTACTGGCACGATATGAGTACATTATATATAGGGGGCAGTGTACAATAACACTGAAATTGAGCCATATTGATTGACACTGACCTAGGAGAATCACAAGGAATTCTGTTAACCTCTTAAAGCATTAAACTGACTGTGTATAAAAACTGGTCTTGATTACACAAAGATTTGTACGAGTTACCTTGCCAATGGAGTTATGAATCCCTAATCCTACCTTATATCAACAGAAAGAAAAATAACACTAGTTGTAGATATCACATACCCACAAATCAGTATTATAGATATCATATCCCCACAAATCAGTATTATAGATCTCATATCCCTACAAATCAGTATTGTAGATACCATATCCCACAAATCAGTATTATAGATACCATATCCCTACAAATCAGTATTATAGATACCATATCCCCACAAATCAGTATTATAGATACCATATCCCCACAAATCAGTATTATAGATACCATATCCCCAAAAATCAGTATTACAGATATCATATCCCTACAAATCAGTATTATAGATATCATATCCCCACAAATCAGTATTGTAGATATCATATCCCCACAAATCAGTATTATAGATATCATATCCCCACAAATCAGTATTATAGATACCATATCCCACAAATCAGTATTATAGATATCATATTGTAGATACCATATCCCCACAAATCAGTATTACAGATATCATATCCCCACAAATCAGTATTATAGATATCATATCCCTACAAATCAGTATTGTAGATACCATATCCCCACAAATCAGTATTATAGATATCATATCCCCACAAATCAGTATTATAGATATCACATACCCACAAATCAGTATTATAGATATCATATCCCTACAAATCAGTATTACAGATATCATATCCCCACAAATCAGTATTATAGATATCATATCCCTACAAATAAGTATTATAGATATCATATCCCCACAAATCAGTATTATAGATATCATATCCCCACAAATCAGTATTATAGATATCATATCCCTACAAATCAGTATTATAGATATCATATCCCTACAAATCAGTATTATAGATATCATATCCCCACAAATCAGTATTATAGATATCATATCCCCACAAATCAGTATTATAGATATCATATCCCTACAAATCAGTATTATAGATATCATATCCCCACAAATCAGTATTATAGATATCACATACCCACAAATCAGTATTATAGATATCACATATCCCTACAAATCAGTATTATAGATATCATATCCCCACAAATCAGTATTGTAGATATCATATCCCCACAAATCAGTATTATAGATATCATATCCCCACAAATCAGTATTACAGATATCATATCCCCACAAATCAATATTACAGATATCATATCCCCACAAATCAGTATTATAGATATCATATCCCCACAAATCAGTATTATAGATACCATATCCCACAAATCAGTATTATAGATATCATATCCCCACAAATCAGTATTGTAGATATCATATCCCCACAAATCAGTATTATAGATACCATATCCCCACAAATCAGTATTATAGATACCATATCCCCACAAATCAGTATTATAGATATCAGATTATAGATATCATATCCCCACAAATCAGTATTATACAAATCAGATATAGATATCATATCCCTACAAATCAGTATTATAGATATCATATCCCCACAAATCAGTATTATAGATATCATATCCCCACAAATCAGTATTATAGATATCATATATCCCACAAATCAGTATTATAGATATCATATCCCCACAAATCAGTATTATAGATATCATATCCCTACAAATAAGTATTATAGATGTAGATATCATATCCCCACAAATCAGTATTATAGATATCATATCCCCACAAATCAGTATTATAGATACCATATCCCACAAATCAGTATTATAGATATCATATCCCCACAAATCAGTATTATAGATATCATATCCCCACAAATCAGTATTATAGATATCATATCCCTACAAATCAGTATTATAGATATCACATAACCACAAATCAGTATTATAGATGTCATATCCCCACAAATCAGTATTATAGATGTCACATCCCCACAAATCAGTATTATAGATATCATATCCATCAGTATTATAGATATCACAATATCCCACAAATCAGTATTATAGATATCATATCCCCACAAATCAGTATTATAGATATCATATCCCCACAAATCAGTATTATAGATATCATATCCCACAAATCAGTATTATAGATATCCATATCCCCACAATATCCCCACAAATCAGTATTATAGATACCATATCCCTACAAATCAGTATTATAGATATCACATACCCACAAATCAGTATTATAGATATCATATCCCCACAAATCAGTATTATAGATATCATATCCCCACAAATCAGTATTATAGATACCATATCCCTACAAATCAGTATTATAGATACCATATCCCACAAATCAGTATTGTAGATACCATATCAGTATTATAGATACCATATCCCTACAAATCAGTATTATAGATATCATATCCCCACAAATCAGTATTATAGATATCATATCCCCACAAATCAGTATTATAGATATCATATCCCTACAAATCAGTATTATAGATATCATATCCCCACAAATCAGTATTATAGATATAATATCCCCACAAATCAGTAGTTATCTAAACCAAAAATCCCCACAAATCAGTACTTGTAGAAACAAGAGGCCCAATGGGCCTGTAGTGCCTACCTTGTGTACATATATATATCTATATATACAAACCAAATATCATGCCTCTTGCCTGAAAGTTCATGAGAAGAAGTCATTTAAATATTTTAAAAGAAATTGACCCCTGTAACCTTGAACATAGGTCAAAATCATTTGTTTTTCACAAACTTTGTCAGACTTCATCTTGGGAACTTACCAGCCAAATATCATACCCCTAAAAGACCCTTTAGTTCATGAGAAGTCACTTAAATATTTTGACAAATTTGACCCCTGTGACCTTGAATATTAGTCAAGGTAATTTCTTTTCCCAAAATTTGTCAGGCTTCATCCTAAGAAGATACCAGCCAAATATAATTCCTCTAAGAATTTTAGTTCATGAGAAGAAATCGTTTAAATGTTTTAACAAATCTGACCCCTGTGACCTTGAATATAGGTCAAGGTAATTTCCTTTCACAACTTAGTCAGGCTTCATCCTAGGAACATACCAGGCAAATATCTAAACATCTGGTCCAAGGATTATTGAGAAGAAGTTGTTTAAAGGAAAAAGTGAATGCCAGGTGAGCTAAAATTAAATTTTGTCTGAAAGGCTGTCGCAATAGGCTATGCGTACTGAGTACGTTTAGCCTAATCAGTACAAAAGTTGTATATATCATAAATCCCCACAAATCAGTAGTTGTTGATGCTAATCCCTATGAGTCAGTATTGTATGTCAAGTCATTATATTACATCCTCATTTTAAATCTTCTGTCTTTGGTAAGTATAATGAGAGAAGTGAAGGCCATTGCTGTGTTATTTAAGATGTTTACAGGATTCTTTATACTACACTTTGATCCTGTAACCTGAATGGTTTAGTTACAAGACCAAAATAGAGATTCCCAACAAGGATTTAGTTTAAAGTGGCTGCTGTGAAGACCTTTAAATTCCTAAAAATAACCAATTCACTTGCTTTTGACATCTATAAACTGGTTTAACATAGTGGAAGAAAGTAACAACAAGAATTTTCACATAAATAATTTGTTTGACGCATCTTAATCATCACACAAATGAAGCCATTGTTTCTTGATGTCTCAAGTGGTGTATACATTGTTCCTATCACACTTTCTTGTCAAGTCTTCATCCAAAAAATGGAAGGGAAATAATGTATATCAGCTTTCCATTACAGAATGAGATGTCTGACAGCTAGGTGCCTTTGTCTCAAATCATGGTGAGTGATCCTTTAAGTGCAAACAATGTTGGCAGATCATGTCTAGACAACCTTCCACAAATAAACTCTCGCCACAAATTTAATGTGTAAATCCACTGTGGACCAGTAAACCTTTGTCATAAGCTACCAGGACCATCACTACATATGTTATCCTGTTCAATAAATGTTTTGCACTGATGACAAATGTTCTGTCTTTTATACCTGTGTCAGACACTTGCCTCCATCTTAATGAAGTCTGAGTAGAATTGGCCGAAAAAGAACCTAACATATTGCACAGCCACAAGCTTTCCATTGATACTGGGTGACTTTGATCGTAGTCTTCTGGACCTAAAAAGCCTTCTCATACAAACACTGTCTTCCAGAAAGCAATGAATGAAATCTGAGATAAATTGGTCTAACAGAAATTGGGGCTAAACGTTTTGTATCTATAGTAACAGTGAATCTTATCTTTGACCTCTGGACCTAAAAAGCTATTTCAAATAAATATTTTCTTCATAGACACTCTAGATAAATTCTGAGAAAAATGGCCAAACAAATTTTCTATACATAGTAACTAAGAGACCTGCACCTTTGACCTCAGGACCTGAAAAGCAATCCAAAGCACTTTCATCGAGAAAGCATCAGGAACAATCTGATTGGCTAAACAGATCTATAAATTATAATAGTATAGTAAACAATTTTCTATTTAGAGTAAGTGATCTTGACCTTTGATCTCAGGACATATCAGACCAAAAAGAAGCTGAGATATGTTGCTGAAACAGAAATTGGATGAACTGATAGAATGATAGAAATGGTAAAAACAATACCTCCTTGTGATCTCGGAGAGATTAAAAACAGGATAACATATAGTTAGAAGATATCATCTGGTTCATAAAGAGAACATTTTTTCTCCAAAAGTCTGGTTATCATGAAGATCCCAAACTCTCTGAATTCAGGTCAAATATCATTACCCTGGGTCTCTTGGGTATACACAAGTTACATCTAAAGACTTTAACACAATTAACAGATGAAGTGATTTGACCTGTAGCAGTTGTAAACAAAATCACCAAGGACATATTACAGCATCTCTGAATGTTATTTGAATTCTGTATTACTAGTTCTAAATAATTTAACAGCATAAAACACAAACCCTTTCACTGAACTTAATGTACTTTGGTCTATAAATTTATGATGTGAAAACAAATGTATACAGACATATTGGTGATTTTATAAATAAATCAAAGGTTTAAACACACAAATTCAATGTACATATTTAAAACAGTATGTAGGGTATTTATTTAGGATTAACGAACAGCGACCTACCTTATCTCGACCCTTTTCCACAAGTTTCATTTCTGCTCGCTTCACTCCTTCGTCTAATAGATCCACTAGCCGAACTACCTCACCTGAACGAGTTTTAAACTTTTTCCTGAAAATTACAAAAAAAGTAGTATTTATAATGATATATAAATAGATGAGGAAATTTGATTTGACCTTGTCCTTATGATGATATTATTGTCCTCTACAAACTAGGCAATGTCCATAGGACAAGAGATGCCTCATGGACCATACTTATATAGGGCTTGGCCTAACAGGATGTGTAAGAAGTGAACATGACATGGTAAGATAACATGCAGACCATGTATTGCTAAAGCATTGTATATCCCCATCCAGTCCCTCCAACCTGTTACACTGAAATGATTTATAAAGATAGAACTAATTTGAAATAGAAGTCAGCAATTACATTATAACTGATCTTCAAGGAACAAAGGAATAGATAACAATACAGGTCCATCACCAATGTGTAATAATGTGTTTTGGTACATCACCAGTGTGTAATACTGTGTAATGGTACATCACCAGTGTGTAATACTGTGTAATGGCACATAACCAGTTGTAATAATGTGTTACAGGCCATAACAAGTGTGTAATTATGTGTTATGTCCATCACCAGTGTGTAATATTGTGTTTTGGTACATCACCAGTGTGTAATACTGTGTAATGGTACATCACCAGTGTGTAATACTGTGTAATAGTACATCACCAGTGTGTAATACTGTGTTTTGGTACATCACCAGTGTGTAATACTGTGTAATGGTCCATCACCAGTGTGTAATAATGTGTTATGGCACATAACCAGTTGTAATAATGTGTTACAGGTCATAACAAGTGTGTAATTATGTGTTATGTCCATCACCAGTGTGTAATATTGTGATATGGTCCATCACAAGTGTGTACTTATGTGTTATGTCCATCACCAGTGTGTAATATTGTGATATGGTCCATCACAAGTGTGTACTTATGTGTTATGTCCATCACCAGTGTGTAATATTGTGATATGGTCCATCACAAGTGTGTACTTACGTGTTATGTCCATCACCAGTGTGTAATACTGTGTAATGGTCCATCACAAGTGTGTACTTATGTATTATGTCCATCACCAGTGTGTAATACTGTGTAATAGTCCATCACAAGTGTGTACTTATGTGTTATGTCCATCACCAGTGTGTAATATTGTGATATGGTCCATCACAAGTGTGTACTTATGTGTTATGGTCAGTTGTAAGAATAGGAAGTTGTATGCAATGAACATGCCTCTTGATTTTCTAAAAATAGTAATGACCTTGACCCAACAAACCTAAAACTTGAACTATTTATAGCTCTCTACCATTGTTACATGAAGGACTGATACCATGAGGTACGGGGGGATGGTGGGGGGAAATTTATAGCCCTCTACCATTGTTAGATCAGTGACTGTAATTTTCCTATATATACTATTGTAAATTTTACCCCCTTCTGATTTGGAAATGTGAAACCCTGGAGTAATAAAATTTACAATTTTGGTAAAGCATTTGAAGGCCTCACCATCCATGAATAATAATTGATTCTACCATACCTAGGATTTGAGAAGATTGTAAAAATTTAGGTCAATTTGACCCATTTTTGGCCCTGCCAAACAGCCCCTGGGTGTCAGCTGCGGTCAATATGTGTATCTCACTAAACTATCATCTTAAACTAATTCTATGCTGGTTTGAACTATTTCCAATAGAATATGAACAAATAACGTTCAAAAATGTGATTTTCCTATTTAAACTATAGTAAAGTTTACTCCATCCCCACGGAGGAAATATCAAATCCTGGGGTCATGGAATTTACAATTTTGGTAAAGCTTCTGAAGGCCTTTCCATCCATGAAGTGTACTTGATTCTAACATATCTGGGATTTGAGAAGAAGATTTTGGGAAGTTTGAATCAATTTAAGCATTTTTAGCTGCACTCCTCAGGCCCCTCAGGGTTGGGGCAATATAGTTTAAAATTTTGGTGAACTTTTAGTCATGGATGGATTTCGTAGAATTTCACTGAAATTGGTTCATGAGATTTCCAGAAGTTGAAAATGTTAAAAGTTTACGGGCGCACAACGCACAGTGCATAACGCATGATGCCAGACAAAAGGGGATAACGATAGGTCAAAATGAAACTTTGTCTCAGGTGGCCTAGACAAGAGGCCTAGCGGACTTGAAGGTCACCTGAGAGAAGCAATATTGAATATAAAGGTTAAAGGATAGTTATCAAGTTTCATGAAATAGAAATTCTGACACTGAATATAGACAGTGTCAATACATGCATTCCATCAAAACTGTCATCCTTTACTGATAATTCTTATGAAGTTATTTCCAGTGGGAAATAACAAACATTATGCTGAAGAATACAATTTTTCTAGGAAATTACAGTAAAGTCTAAAAACAAGTACTAATTGTAATGGGGACCATTACAAATGTCCCGCAAATGACCCCTTCAGCAGTAAATGATCACAATAATCAAATCGGACAATATCTAAAATTTGGCCAAATTTTGACCACAGCTGACAACTCAGATGACCGAATGAAAAATGGACTACGCCATTTGCTCCGAGTGCCACCTAATACATATATACCAATTTTCACGAAAATCAGACAATATCTAAAATTTGGCCAAATTTTGACCACAGCTAACCACTCAGATGACCGACTGATGGCCAAATGAAAAATGGACTTACGCCATTTTGCTCATAGTACCACCTAATACATATATACCAATTTTCACAAAAAATTGAACAATATCTTAAATTTGGCCAACACAAAAATCAGACAATATCTGAAATTTGGCCAAATTTTGACCACAGCTGACCGATCGATGGCCGAATGAAAAATGGACGCCTTTTTGCTGCGAGTGCCATCTAATACATATATACCAATTTTCACGAAAATCAGACAATATCTCTAATTTGGCCAAATTTTAACCACAGCTGACCGCTCAGATGGATGATCAATGGCCGAATAAAAAATGGACTATGCCTTTTTGCTGCGAGTGCCATCTAATACATATATACCAATTTTCACGAAAATCAGACAATATCTCTAATTTGGCCAAATTTTGACCACAGCTGACCGCTCAGATGACCGATTGGAAAATTTCAAGTGGCCTGCACTCTGCCTTGCATGTATGAATATGTGTGTAAAGTTTTGTGAAATTCCATGCAATAGTTTTTGAGAAACGCGTCGGAAACCTCGCCGGCAGAAGAAAGTAGAAGAAATAAGAATAATATAAATAATAACAATAATAATAATAATAAAAAGAAATGAAGCAAACAGAATATGTCCCCCCACTACGTTTGGGGACATAAGAATATTCCTTCCCCAAAGAAGAAATATGAGACTCACTTTGGTAATTAAAGCACCTTAAGATGCTTCCATTCATGAAGAGTATTTGATTCTAGCATATCTGGATCTTGAGAGGAAGATTTTTGAAATTTCAGTCAATTTGACCCCTTTTTGCCCCGCCCATCAGCCCCTTGGGGTCAGTCAAGATAAAAATGGGCATATCATCAAGCCTTCATCATTTACTTATGATTCTAACCTCATTTGAAATATTTCCAATGGAAATTAAACAAATTATGCTAAAAAATATAGTTTTCCTATAAAAACTATAGTAAACTTTACCCCTCCCCAAGGGTGATATGTCAGACCCTGGGGCCATGAAATTCACAAATTTGGTAGAGCACCTTGACATGCTTCCATTCATGAAGAGTATTTGATTCTACAATACATGGGTCTTGAGAAGAAGATTTTTTAAATCTGAGTCAATTTGATAACTTTTGGCCCTGTCCCTCAGGCCCAGGGGGTTGGGGACTGTATCATTCACAATTTTGGTTCATGTTAGACCAGGGAAGGTTTCTGCAAAATTTCATTGAAATTGGATCAGGGGATATTGATAAGAAGTCGAAAATGTTATATTGTTTACTGACGCACAACACACGACGCACGATGCACGATGCATGATAAGAAGGTAACGTAGGAAATTGAATGAAGAGATTACGTGAGTATACGTAAGTGATGTAGGAGTTAGAATGGAGAGTTTAAGCAAATATAGGAAGGTGATGTATATGTTGAGACAGTATAGGAAGATGATGAAGGTGTTGATACAGTATAGGAAGGTGATGTAGGTGTTGAGACAAGATAGGAAGGTGTTGAGACAGTATAGGAAGGTGATGTAGGTGTTGAGACAAGATAGGAAGGTGTTGAGACAGTATAGGAAGGTGATGTAGGTGTTGAGACAGTATAGGAAGGTGATGAAGGTGTTGAGACATTATAGGAAGGTGATGTAAGAATTGGAATGGAGAGATTAAGTGTGTATAGGTAAGTGATGAAGGAGTTGGAATGGAGAGATTAACAAATAGGTAGGTGACATAGGAGTGGAATGGATGAGACAGTTTAGGACAAAGTTTAGGAAGGTGTTGATGACAAATTTTGACACCATCCACTTGCTTCTCTGACCCACAATCATTGAAAATCACATCAAAGATCAAGTGTATGGTTGAACAGTGTGCAGGTTTGTAGACATACAAATATTGAAAGATTAGCTTGACACATTGGGTGACATTAAGTTGTTGTGCTCCAACACTGACCATAATTTTCTTTTTTTTCTGATTAGTTCTGTAAATTAAAAAATACGCTAATGTGGTGTTACATTCTGACATCGGAGAGGCCTGAAGCAGTCAGTAATAACAACATTAATGTACTTCTACTTCCCAGTAAATGCTTTGGCTAGTTTCAAATTACATGACTGATAAAAGCTGTACTTAAATGCAATTTATGAAATGATTGCTAAGAATTTAAATGCATCAGGAGATTTCAGAGGATTCTTGGTGTCAATCATTGTATGATCTTCATTAGTTTTGTGTTTGTTCCATTCTTTCCCTTCTTTTCTAATTTTTTCTCTTCTTTTGTCTCATTTTTCCTTGATGCTATGTTGTATTGACAGTTGAATAAATAATATGGCAACATCAATAAACAAGGGAGACAACAAAATCTAATGGTCTCTGTCTAAAGTAAAAATAAGGACACAAGGGAGATGACAAAATCTAATGGTGTCTGTCTACAGTAAAAATAAG